TGGGACAAAGTGGCATCATGTTGATGACAAATATCAAATAATTCCCACAAGGCAGTTTTTAGGGAGCACCCCCCAATCCAGTTATCATGCCAGAAGGCAATGTTATCCCCATTCCCAGGATTCCATTTCCAAAAAAAATTTGCAGCAACAAAAGCCCAAGAGATGCTTTTCCAGAAGGGAGACCCAGAGGCAGGCTTAGCATGGAAAATATTAGGCTTATTAGTAGCATATTTGAAGCAAAGAAGTTTTTTCCGATCCCCCTTCCTCCCATCATAGAACCTTTTCCCCCAAGAAGCCAGGAGAGCCATGTTAAACTCCCTGAGATTAGGAACACCCAGGCCACCAAATTCCTTCCTTCTAGCCACAAGGCCCCAGTTAGCTAAATGGTATTTGTGAACCTCACCCACATTGCCCCAGAAGAAATGAGACATTTGGGAAGTGATCATATCAATAGCCCATTTTGGGAATTTAATCATGGCCATAAGATATGATGGAATGCTGGCAATGCAAGTAGTTAAAAGAATCAGCTTCCCTCTGTAGGATAAAAGTTTGCCTAGCCAACCAGCAATATTTTTTATAATCCTATCAATGATAGGTTGCAAGTCTTCCCTCCTCAGTTTTTATAGTGAAGTGGCACCCCAATATATTTGAAAGGAAAGTCAGCAAATTGACAACACAAAATTTGGGCAAATTCTCTAGACATTTGCTCAGAAACATGAATGGTATGCAAATCACTTTTATGAAAATTGATTTTTAAGCCAGACAGCTTCTCAAAACAAGTCAGGATCCACTTCAATTTTTTTGCATATTCCACAGATTCTTGAATGAACATAATGGTATCATCAGCATACTGTAAACTAACTACACCACCAGGGATGGCATGTGGGAGAAGCCCACCAATCAAGCCATTATTAATAGCTTTAACCAGCATTTTAGAAAAAACATTAGCCACCAGGTTAAAAAGAAGGGGGGAGTGGGGGCTCCCTTGTTTCAACCCCTTATCTCCAACAAAGTGTGGCCCATTTGTGTCATTGATTCTAACCTGAAATGTCCCATGTTTCAAGGTGCTAAGAACCCAACTAACCCATTTAATCCCAAAGCCTCTAGAAAGAAGCATTTCCTCCAGGAATTCCTAGCTGACCCTATCATAAGCTTTCTCATAATCCAGTTTAAGAATCAGCCCACTAGTGTTAGACCTGTGAACCTCATGAATCACTTCATGGGCCATAACAACACTTTCCAATATAAATCTCCCTTTAATAAAGGCAGTTTGGTTATGAGAAATGAGTTTATCACAGATAGGGGAAGCCCTAGTATTCATAGCTTTGGAAAAGATTTTAACAGCACAGTTGCTAAGACTAATTGGTCTGAAATTCTTCATCTCTCTAGCTAATGGGACCTTAGGAATGAGGGTAATGATAGCATAATTCAGTTTAAAGATATCTAGCACCCCATTCTCAAAATCCCTAACCATCCACATAAAGTCATTCTTAATGAGATCCCAGAAGTTCTGGTAAAAGAGGAATGACAAACCATCAGGGCCAGGGGCCCCACTGGCATAAGAGCTCATAATTGCTTCTTTGATCTCATCCTCAGAAAAGGATCTCTCCAGGTCTCTCTGCATTTCCTCACTAATCATTTCTGTTTCAGACCAAAAACCATTCCCTAAATGTAAGTCAGGTTTAGATTCATAAGCAAACAGGGTTTTATAGAAATCAGGAGCTATTTCCAGCATATCAGTAGTGGATGTCACAGGTCCAGAAGGGCCTATCAACTCAGACAAATGATTTTTCCTATGCCTGTGGTTAGCTAAGGCTTGGAAATAAGCATTATTGCGGTCCCCTTCAAGAATTTTCCTATCCCTAGACTTCTGCCAGAAGGCAGTCTCCTCTTTTTTCCAGATCTCCTCCAATTCTTTTTTCACAGCTTTCATTCTGTCATGATCAGCAGAAGACAATTGTTGGGATTCAGATAATACATCTAGCAGATCAAACTCCATAAGGAGAGATTTTTTCTTTTTTTTCATCGCAGCCTCAATATTAATAGCCCACCCTTTTGTTTTTTTACGAAGGAGTCTGGTTTTAGATAACCAATTATCCACTGAAGAAGTGGATGATGAAACAAAAGACCAGGTTTCATGAACCAACTGATTAAAACCAGGTTGAGAAAGCCACCACTTCTCAAACCTGAACATTTTAGGGCTAGATGATCGGCGCCTCCCAGTGTCTAACACCAAAGGAGTGTGATCACTCCCCACTCTAGGGAGAGCAGTTAGTGAAGACAATGGGAAATGAGCATCCCAATCCACAGAAGTAAAAACCCTATCTAACACAGCAAAAACAGGGTCATCCTGATTGTTGGACCAAGTGAAGCCCCTGTTGGAGATAGAAATCTCTAACAGCCCCCATCTGTTAATCCAATCATTGAACATAAAAGTGGTATGATGGTTAACAATCCCACTACTCTTCTCACTCACATTCCTAACTAAGTTGAAGTCCCCACATACCAAAATAGGATATGAGGCCGACTCAACAATAGTATGCAGTTCAGCCACAAAATCTACCTTGAATTCTGGGTAAGCAGAACCATAAACAATAACAAGGTGCCATATAAAACCATCTTCCTTATTTTTAACTGTGGCAGTAACTGAAAATTCATGGTTAATAAAACCAACAGTATCAAACAAGCTTTTCCTAAGACCCAAAAGGATCCCCCTAGCAGTATTAACAACAGGTAAATAATGCCAATCAAAATTACCACTTCTGTCTACAGCCTTGAGGAAACCCTCGGAAATAACCTCTTTCTTAGTTTCTTGGAATCCAATAAAATCGGGGTTAGCTCTAGCAATGGTGTCACAAAGGCACTGAACTTTACCAGGTTTACCAAGCCCTCTAATATTCCAGATGAGACCTATCATATCTAAGCAACTTTAAAAGGATGAGATAAGCCACAAGGCCTAGCTTTGGTTGGGACATTTGGGGTTCTCCTCAAAGCATCAGCAGTGCCAACTGGCTTGAGAGGGTGAACATCCAAAGGTGTCCCAACCAATTCATCATGGTTTAGTTCTAAGTTATCTGGCAGCACAATTTCAGGGTTATTATTGGCAAAAGCCAAACACCTCTCCTTCTCCCCATCAACCAAAATGTCAATGGTTTCAAGTCTATTAACATCATCCCCCCAATACAAATATCAATTTTATTCATCTGATCAAGCAGGATGTCATGACCAGTGTTAGTGAATGATTTACCATTAAAGTTTTTTTGGAATTTCCAGGTTCTGCTTCGTCTTGTAAGCAGCAGCCTTCTCCATGATGTTTAAGTGGCCATGCCCTCTAGTATTAGGCTTCTGAACCAACACAGGCCCCCACTTGGATTTCTCAACCTCTGATGAGATATGAGCTTGGTCAAGAGATTCCATCAAAGATCTTTTCAGAGAAGTGGTCTGAATAGCCTGTACAGCTTCAGCAGGAAGAGTTTCAAGGTCATCATTATTGGGTCCTCTTCCTCAGACTCGGAAAAGTCAACAGATTTAAGGATACTCTCACAATATTCCATGTTCTCAAGCTTCCTCCTAGAACTAGTGTTTCCCTCAACAAACTTCACCACAGACTTAGATGGAGTGGAATCCATCAGGACAGGAGGACAGAAATCCTCAAGGTCAGTTCTCTTATCAGTTACCAGGTGTGTTTTTTCACCAGTGTTAACACACTCCAGGATAAAGGTTTCATGATCAGAATCAGAGCAGAACATACCAGCCTACACCCTTTTCTGTGTACTCTTCCCCATACTAGTGACATTAGCCTTATCTAACTCATCAATTGCCTCCTCACTGTCATGTAAGTCCTCCAGACCATCCTTATGACCATCTCCACCCTCATCCTCCTGTCTCTCAGCAGCACCATCTCCTTCAAACTCCTCATCATCCTCAATGTCAATAACAGAATCAACCCCACCCACTTGTTCAAAGCCCTCCACAGTAAAACCCAGCAGAAATAATTTCTTCTTCATCTCAATGAGCCTTTCAAAAGGAATTTTTGTGGGGTCTCTGCAAGCAATTTTGATCCTTACATTCTCAAAAAAGGTCCTAAACATCCCATTCCAGTCTACATCGCCCAATTAATTTTGTGGTGACTTGGGGTGCCACGTAGGTTATTTTTTGAGGTTTTCTCCGCTGGTTGGTGTCTGGTTTATTTACCTATACGGTTTTTTTTCTCTGGTACAGACGAGTGGGTCCTACCTGTCGGGCTGAGAGAAAGAAATCGAAAAATATATGGCTGCGCCAGGGATAGGCCTTATGAAAGCATATGTCTTCATTAATATCGGTCATGTAGTGTTAACTGCCAAATATTATTGTCTGATATTAATAGCGATCATGTAGTGCCAACAACCAAATTTCATGGTAACTTCATTCATAGTGGTCTTGTAGAGCAAACAACCAAATTTTATTGTCAATTCCTATATATGCTCCCTCCATTTCAGAATATAAGGTGTATTGATTTTCGTGCAAATAAAACTTGGGTATGATTGGCCAATATTATAAAATATAATATCAACATCTAGAATACAAAATGAATAATACATGAGACTTTTCATGATGTACCTAATGATAAAAATTTGTTACTGTGCATGTTGATATTTTTAAAAAACTTAGGTCAAACCTGCGCATGTTTGACTTTTGAAAAAACTAATACACCATATATTTTGAAATGCAGGGAGGAATAGCGATCCCGTAGTGCCCACAACCAAATCTTATCAGCACGTTTGTTTCTGATGTATCCATTATTCAAGTTCAGTAAAAGTGGCCCACAAGTTCAAAAGGAAAAATTGTGGCCCTGAAGAAACAAAAACCAAATCTTATCCATTGGGAGCACTTACAGTGGCCACAAAATCTTATAACTTTTCTATCTTAACTAGGGAGAATCAGAATAACCATCATACAGTATATAGTTTTTGACAACCAAATCTTCTTGCAATCTCAAAAGAGTTAACAATCCACTCTCAATGGATAAGGTGTACATTGGCATCCTCTCATGCGCCTTGGTCTTCCTGCTCCACAATCTGTTAGGCAAGAAGAAGAAGAAGAACCACAAGGGCGGTCTGCCGAGCCCTCGGGCCATCCCGTTTCTGGGCCACCTCCATCTCGTGAAGCAACCAATCCACGCGGCGCTATGCCGCCTGGCAGAGCGCCACGGACCCGTGTTCTCGCTTCGCCTAGGCTCTCGCAGCACCGTTGTGGTGTCATCGCCGGCAAGCGCCAGGGAGTGCTTCACCGAGCACGATGTGGCCTTGGCCGACCGTCCGAGGATCCCCTCGTGGCGGTTCGTGTCCATGTACTTCTCCATGCTCGCCGCGACCAGCTACGGCCCGCACTGGCGAACCCTCCGCCGCGTGGCGGCCGTGCATCTGCTCTCCACGCAGCGGGTCAGCTCCATGTCAGGCGTCATCGCTGGTGAGGTGCTTGCCATGGTGCGGCGGCTGTACAGATCGGCGACGGCGTCGCCGCGTGTCCAGCTGAGGCGGAGGCTCTTCGAGCTCTCCCTCAGCGTGCTCATGGAGACCATCGCGCACACCAAGGCAACCCGTTCCGAGTGGGAGGACACGGACATGTCCGTGGAGGCCCAGGAGTACAGGAAGGTGCTGGACGAGATCAACCAGCATGTGGGCATGGCCAGCCTGTACTGGGATCACCTGCCAGTAATGCGGTGGCTCGACGTGTTCGGCAACAAGAACGAGGTCGTCGCTGCTGTGAGTAAAAGGGACGTGTTCCTGCAGCAGCCCATCGACGCGGAGCGGTGGAAGCTGGACGACGGCGGCATCGGCCCTTCTAGTGAAGTCGAGGGAAAAAGCATGATCTCCGTCATGTTCACTCTGGAGAAGAAAGAGCCACAAGTCTATACCGATACAATGATCAGCGGCGTGTGCGCGGTACGTGACCTCTTCCATTTTACTATTACGTACATTCTCACAATATAAATTTAGAATACAATAAAAAAGGTAATTTTGCATTCGACACGACACGAAACGACAAGCGTAACAATCTAAATATGCAAGAATTACTTGGATAGAAATGAGGAGAGATATGCTAGCTAGAATTAATTGGCAGGGGATACATACCATCGGACTACCAAAGTGATGGCATGCTCTACTAGTTCATCATAAAACTAAAGTAGGATGTTGGAGTAACTTCAGAATGGGGATCGACTGAAAAATTGGTTATAGGTGTGCACGAGTGAGGACAAAGTGCACATAGAAGACTAGTGTCCCTACTAGGGAAAACCCTAATAGTACCTCAGGGTAATGTTCTAGCAGTAGCGGTCCCGCGCTACTGCTAGCACGCTACAACTAACTTTTAACAGTAGCGTGGGGTCCTACCTCCTGCTGCTACTACTGGTAGTAGTACCGATGGTCAACCATGCGCTACTGCTAATTACCTGTAGCGCGGGCCCAGAGCCGGAGCTACTACTTCTGGTAGTAGCAGCAGTGTTGTACCCCAGGCTACTGTCATGCTCTTACCCCACGTTACTATTATTTTTGCTTTTTTTTCTTCTGGCTACACATGCATGGTATTTATACAGGTTTTATACTATACACATACACATACGATGAAACTATATGAGACAATAATCATCAAAATGCTCCAAAGTCACATCATCATCATCATCATCATCATCATCATCATCATCATCATCATGATCCAACATACACATACACATGTTTCAACATAACACGTGTTCATCATCATCATCATAGTGCTCGAACATATACATATGTTCATCATCTATCTAAACTAAGATATGATCACATACAAGAGAAGAGCGGCCACAAAGAGCAAGAAAGGGATTACAAAGTAGTTCTGGCGCCGGTTCTGATTCCTCTTTGTCACTATCGTGAACCTCAAGTAAAAAAGTTTTGGCTTCACTTCTAGTTTGAAAACCTTTGTGGCCGCTGCCCGGGAAGCGGTTCACCTGGGCCTGACCACTCTGGCAACTCGTTGTCACTCCCTGAACCCTCCCTATGTACACGGCATATGCCACTTCTTCGCCAACGATCTATATCCCTGATAGAGATGCATCGTAATTAAGCAAAATCATTAATAATATGCAACATAATATACTTAAGCAACACGTATTGAAAGAGTTAGCAAATAGAAGCAACATATAGCAAACATAATTAACGAAATTCATCATACCCAAACTAATAACTAGAGCGCGACACCGTTTAGATAACAAAGTTATGTCATACAGAAATTCAAAGTGTCGTCCTAGAGAAAGTACTAACTAAATGGACACATTGTAGGGCTACGCGAGTTCGTACGTCAGCCCGCGATATTGGGCTGTTGTAAAACATCCCCTTCTCTTCGAGCACGTCTTTCATGATGATCACCGCAATTTCCTGCTGGATGCGATAGAACTCATTTCGGAGTTGATGATCCGGTACGGCTCCTATGCCTTCGGCCCATTTGCGGATATGGGCATCAGACGAAGATGCCATGCAACGTGTTTGTCGATCCCTTCTGTACTCCAGCATGTGATGGATGACCATCCTTGATACTACTTGACGGTTGCTGGACATGGTAGAAGTCAGTCTAATGGCCCAAACATGGCGTGTCGTTCCTTTGTTTTTGACCTTGATGTGGCCACCTGCTGGCTGAAGCTCAGGATAGCACTTTCTAGAACACTCTTTATGTGTGTGTTATATTTTTTCTGTATATTCTTCAACGAGTCCAAATACAGAGCGTGGGAGACTTGCAGGAAAAGAATGATGAGGACAGCGAGCCCCTCACTGCGCAAAATAAGTACACCTCAAATTAGCCTCCAACGTACAATGGAGTGATTAAAATGTACGAAAGGATGTATGTTCTATAGCGGCTATCCGCGGATGACTTACATGGGATGATAAGGCAGGAAAAGAGTTTTCTTGTCTTTATCCATGACCATTAAGTCTGCGATATAGTTCCTCGCATATTCATGGTTCATTAGGTTAATTGCCAAGAAGGATTCATGCATGTAGTACGAGTCTGCGACCGTGATTTGAGAGATTTGCTCTTTCCTGATGATGTAGTTTATATGCATTGCATAAAGGCAGACGAATGTAAAATCGAGCCACCAGATATGAAACATCTCGAAGATGTAATCAAATCGCAGGAAGAATAGGTGTGTGGGTGCATTTCTGGACGTACAACCTGCCACTCGGCACAGCAACCGCGTAAAGCGGGTATCCTGGAGCATCCGAGGTGAGAAGGATTTTTTCTGTCGACCGCACTTCATCATGCAGTCTCCTGAGATCCCCTGTTATGGCGTCTAGTGCTTTCGCCGGTAGGATCGATCCCCTGTTATGGCGTCTAGTGCTTTCGCCGGTAGGATCGACTGGCCTGTAACATGGAGTAACGACGCATCTCTAATCAGTACACTGTCTGCAACCCCGGTGGAGGCGGTTGGCTGCTAGAACAGCTTTGGCGGCAGTAAAGTCTTTCTTCAGCGGTCTCTTCCCCTTCTTCTTCTTGGGTTCAGGTACCGCATGGGTGCGTGCTGGGAGGAGCCAAATTCTTTCACCCAGTTGACAACAGCCGGAATCAAGGAAGTAATGCAGCTGCCATATCACTTATGCAGGCAGCTACCACTTCCCGGACTGCCTCAGCTTTGGTATCAACTTTGGCCTCAACTGTGGCTTTCTCGACCGCCTGCACCACCCTCCTTGATAGACACTAGGCTCAACTTCCTTCTCTGCCTTTTTGTCTCCGTGTCCTTGTGGTAGTAGTGCGTCCATGTGGCACCTTCTCCGGCGCCGTGCACATGTCCATACTGCGGCCGCTCTTTCACCGGTTTTCCTGCGTTATATTAATGACCCAGTTGAAACGGGTGTCCCACTTGTACTTTCTCGACGACTGAGATGATGAGTCGCTTTCTGACGTGGCTAGGTACCAGCTTTGGTCTCAGCCATGGCTTTCTGACTAGTTGCTTCCCGCGCTACTACTACTTAACAATAGCGTGGGCCAATTTCCATGAGCCACTGTTATTGGTCTACCTATAGGGTTTTTCCTAGTAGTGTGTTGATCTGTGGGGTCAGTTTAGATCCCACCAGGAGTAACGACTAGTAGCCGACGGGTGTGTTCGGGGCATTGTAGATATCCATTGACGACCTTTGCCCTTGTCCTCTTTGTCCGCTTTCGCCCATTGCGAAAAATTTCCCGATGCCGCCTCCTGGAGGAGTCGGGGTTGGTAGTAGTTCCTGAAATTGACGACTGCATGAAGCCTCCGCAAAATGCTAGCTTTAGATGAATCCAATAGTATATTCCTATGCAAGAGATGTGTGAGATTTGTGTGAGATTAGCTGAATAATATGCGCACAGATCAATTCCATTGTACTACATATGTGCGCCATACACCGTAGAAAAGAAGCAAAGCAACAATTATAAGGGTAAATGTTTGGAAGAATTAGAACCATCCTACAACTTAATCACCCAACAAAAGTTACGATTTTTTCCATTCATAACATGCCATGTAGAAACGGAAAGAAAATGTTAATGGAACTTGCCTCGGATAATCGACGTGCACAACTGGAATAAGCTAGTTTGCGAAGTGCCTGGCCCTTTGCCGACTGCCTTTTATTGGGCGCTCCACAAAGGAGTTGTATGCCAAGCATCCAGTAGAATACACTCGGCAAAGAAACTACACTCATCAGAAAAACACTCGACAAGATGGGAAGGACTTATCTCCATTTTTTTCGCCTGCTCATTTTCCGTAGCATTGTTCATGATAATTTTCCCATATTTGGCACAAAGGTATATCTTGCCATGCCAAATGCTGTTTTAACTTTTCATCACCAAAAAAGCTTGCCATTTCTAAATGCCAAAATGTTTTTTTTTGTATATCTTCAATTTTCACACAAAATAGACCATATTGGGTGGACAATTCCCAATTTTTTTATTTTTCTAGCCTTCTAGCTATGTTCGCACATTTGAATGAATTTCGGCCAATTTCCCGAAAGCGATTCAAATTTGAACTACAACTATGTTATAGTTTGATACTAAAAATTCCCAAAGATCATTTTAAGGACCCAAGTAGGATTCTATGCAATAGCCGCAGAGGATGTTGAAATATTCCATCCTTGCTATGAATAGAAGTGCCGGACCTTTTGACCCCATTTTGAAATAAATCAAAGAAAATGAACAAAATATAAAAGATGTATTTCTTCTGCATTGTGTTCTCTTACGTGTACTAATTGGCCTTAATTTTTTAGAATTTGGAATATTGACAACTTTAAAAAGTCCTTCATAAAAAGCCGATCATGTATGAACACTCATGTCTTTTAAGCCAAATGACCAAGGTTATGTTACTTTCGATGGCATGGTTCATGATAATTTGCACATATTTGACAAAGCGGTGCATCTTACCATGCCAAAACATATTTCCAAAAAGGAGTTTCTAACATTTAGTTACAAAAAAATCTTTTTCGTTTTCTAAGGACAATCCCCAAATGCTTTGACTTTTTTAGATTTCTAGTTAAGTTCGCACATGTAGATTAATTTTGGTCAATTTCTTGAAAGTAATTCAAATTTGAAGTACAAGCGTGTTATAGTTTGGTCAAAAAATCCCAAAATAATTTCAAAGTACCCATGTTGGATTCTATGCAATATCCATGGAGGACGTTGAACGATTTTCGGATTTTTCCTATGAATATATGTGCCGATAGTTGACCCCATTTTGCCAAAAATTTAAAAAATAAGAAATAAAAAAACGCAATCCTTTACCTTGGAGTCATCTATTTTGGGACGGAGGGAGTAGTTGCTAGTAAACTGACAAACTTAATTTTCTATCTTTTTTAGAAATATTTCATGAGATGGCCTATCATTTATGAACATTCATGGCACCACGCCAAATGACCAAGGTCATGGACCTTTCCATGGCCAGGTTCATGATAATTTTCCATATTTGGCAAAGAGGTGGATCTTGCAGTACGAAAAAGAGTTTATAACTTTTTGTTACAAACGTTTTTTTTAATTTTCTAAGTGCCAAAATGCAATTTCTTGTGAAGCAAGTGCAAATTAGCACCACTTCATACAAAGTAGATCATATTTGTTTGAAAAATCTAAATATTTTGAAGTTTCCACCTACCTAGATATTTTCACATATTTGAATGAATTTCAGCCGGTTTCCTAGAAGTATTTCTTGAACTACAAGCATATTGATGTTTACTCCTAAACATTCCCAAAAATAATATTAAGTTACCCAATTATGATTCCACGCAATATCTACGGAGGGTGTTGAAAGATTTGGGTCCTTGCTTTGAATAGTTGCCATCCATTTTGATCACATTTAAAAATGAAGAAAATGTAAAAAAATGCAATCCTTTGGCTAGTGTCCACTTACATGTTCTCAATTCCAAGAAAAAATTTGATAAAACTGAATTTTGTCAAGTTCTAAAAAACATTCTTCATAAAATACCCTATCATGTATGAACATTCATGACTTGCAGGTAAAATGACTCAGGTCATTCCCATTTCCATGGCATAGTTCATGATAATTTGCACAGATTTTGCACATAGGTGCATCTTGTCATGCCAACCAATATAGAGCACCCGACAAAAGGCACTAGACAAAGGGCAGATACTCGGCAAACTCGAGTAATATAGAGATATGTTTCTGAACTTCCTATTGATTGTCACATTGATAACAATATCGCTTGGGATGCTTAAAGGATAGAAGTACTCATGGACACTACTGCTTATATTACAAATCACAAACAACAAAATCATGCTAGCATCTTTTTTCTTATCTGCAGAGTTTATTTAGTGCGGGAGCAGAGCTCACCTTAGCTGTGATAGAATGGGCTATGTCGCTCCTGCTAAATCACCCGGCAGACCTGAAGAAGGCGCAGGACGAGATCGATAGGTTTGTGGGGTTCTCCCGTCTGGTTGCTGCTGAGGACCTGCCCCACGTCACCTACCTCAAGTGTATCATTAGCGAGACTCTTCGCCTTTACCCCGTCGCCCCACTACTGTTGCCGCATCGGTCGTCCACGGACTGTAAGATCGGTGGCTATGAAATTCCTAGTGGGACCATGGTGCTCGTTAATGTGTATGCCATCCATAGAGACCCGGCCATGTGGGAGCACCCGATCAAGTTAAGGCCGGAGAGGTTTGAGGATGGCAAAGCTGAAGGGTTATTCATGATACCCTTCGGAATGGGGAGGCGAAAGTGTCCTGGCAAGGCAATGGCTTTACGGACGATAGGATTGGTTCTTGGGGCACTTCTACAATGCTTCGACTGGGATCAAGTGGGCGCTATGGAGGTAGACAAGACAGAAGGAGCAGAAGAATTTGTTACGCCCAAGGCCATTCCATTTGAGTCTTTGTGCAAGCCGCGCACAGCTATGTCCGATGTGCTTAAGATGCTCTAATTAACTTTGTTTGGCATATATCTTTATTCTAAGAGGTACACATCTTCATATCTATATATTTGCTAATTGGAGATTCCCTAGGATTCTCCATGTTAATCTTGTTGTCTTAAAAGTTGATCGTCTGTGCTAAGCGATCGGCAGACCAACATCTGTTCTGGGAGTCCAACCAGATCAATAATTTGACCAAAAGGGGGCACAGGTCTTCCAAACTAGACGCCAGTGCTCGGTCGAGGTAAAACCAAAGAAAACCACATTGTAGCACGGGATAGCCAAGTAGACGCCGTTGTCACTCCGTCGCCATTGAATCATGTCTGGCTGCAAGGTGGGCACCACATGTGGTAGTTGGCGCCAAATGCCAACATATTCGGTAGTGACGGCCAGCCCAAGTGATCCCTAGATGTCAAGAATCCAGGCGCGATCATGAAGAGCATGGGTAACCGTGAGGGAGTGCCTCCTCGTACTTGGCACAAGTGCCACAAGAGTGGGCGCGAGGTCGATGATGGAACTGCCCTCGAGGCATGGGTCGACCGAAAAAGGGCCAAATATGACGTTGCCAATGGTCCATGTCGTCAACGCCCGGAAAAACTATAGAACCACGTAATCGGACGGAGGCTGAAGATTAGGCCAAGGTCATGAATTTGATTGCCTTGATGGTACCTACTGATAAAGTTGTTTTTGAGAACGGATATTTGAGGTGATCCAGGTTATGTCAAAGCTTGTCCACAATAAAAGAAATCATGGCGCTTCAGCTTCTCCCTGGTTCCATGTCTTGTCACTATATATGGCTTTACATGCGTAAATGTGAATCTATCAGTGCTCTTGAGTTTATGCAGAGATTGTCCGGCTTTCTCTTGAGCGATGTGTATGTGGTAAAAACTGGAAAATGATCGCTGCCCTCGAAAGAGACAATTTTGTTGTCCATAGTGTACAAATTTAAGCCACAAGCAAAAACCCATTGCATCTATCACCTTTTGACATAATCCCACCACCAAAGATTCAATTATGATAGAACAATCACTAAGGGAAATACTTGAGAGTCATGATTCAGAGGGACTAGTGGGTGTTAATGAGACCCTTTGTTGAATTTCTGTTTGAAAAAGCTCCAATGAAAATTAATTCTCTTGATAGAATAATTTTTCGCTTGCTTCGCACCTAGTTAACTATGAATGTTTAACTTCAGAATTATAACTAGTGATATGAAACTATATGTGGCTAGACAGCGAGCTTAAGTGCAATCATTACTATAATACGTTTTACTATTTTCCTTGTTTAATTGTGTGTGTTATTATTGTGAATAATCACTAGCCCACGCAAAATTAAAATTGTTTATGCTATTGAATTACCAACTCGCTGGATGTTACCCAAGAAAATACTCTCAATGGTCTATATATATATCAATGCATATTATCTTTTAATTGTACTACAACTCACATATTTCTATTGTTCCATGCATTTTTAGACATCTACATAGTTATTTCCTTAATATGGATGGGCGCAGCAAATCACAGATTTATGTTCTAGTATCATGTAGGTAATAGCTAGAGTGGCAACCCATGTGCTTAGTGATTGCTTCTTGGATTAATAAGAGAAGAAGATAATAAGTTGTAAGTCCTGCATGCAATTTGTAGAGGTTTTGTGCAAGCAACTGCTAAAAATTTCTGCAGTAGTGTGTACCTGATCGTTGGGACACATGGACCATATATGATTGTTAGTTGGTAGAAGACTAGAAACTACTATTAAGATATTGGCTAGTGTATATGATTCAAAAATCTCTACCACAATATTCAATAATACATATGTATCAACACATGCATAATTCTGCAAATATATGTGTACACACTACAGACTTTATGTAATATCCAATAATTAATTCAAAATTATTTTTCCAAACAATAAATGTAACAACATAAAATTTAAATCTCGCAGAGGAAATGTTCGAATGAAATACATTCCAACGACATAAGAAAAAAAATAATATAATACTATTTAGAAACATTTTAATATGCTAACTATGATAGGTAATTAATAAAATAAATGTACTGATTGAAATTACTATGGTAATACTAACCTTAAAAAAGCATAAAAGTTTAGTATAAATAGAATATGGTTTTATATGACTTTAGATTTAAAAATTCACATCCTAGAACTTCTAACAGAGCTTCGGATTGTGGTCCCTCACTCCCACATCACCTTTGCTTCATCTGGCCATGGTGCATCATGCTGCCCGCCTTCCCGTATAATTGCCTTGCAGCAGAACTCTTCGTAATGCTTAACCAACAGAAGCTCCCCCCAAGCAAGAATGACAGATCAAGCTCCGCGGTTGGGATTGACCAGAAGCACAATTTCGCCCTGTGGTGCTCCTGCTCCTTACCTACACATGCTTCCTTCACCACCCTAACAACACTTTCATATGGATTAACGTAGCCAGCTTGATGCTCATATCTTTCTTTGTAATTGAACAACATTTTCCTTTCCTCCCACATAGAAACATATAATTTATTCCTGTTTTTGACAACCCCTTTCCAATCTCTGAATAGTTTAATTAATGAAACATTAGGGGTCAGTGCAATGTCACTGTCAACAGCATTAAGGGCCCACTGCCTAGCCTTGGCAAACCTATGTACTTCGCCAAACAGGATGAAGAGCATGCAAACAAATCTCTGGCCTTCGTCTGTGACTTCTTGGTCAGGATGGAGTTGAAGTTCTTTAAGAAAATTGAAGATTTTCAGGAGTATTTCTTGACCAAAGTGCACCTTTCCACTATAAAAATAACATGAAAATAAATTAGATTGATAGAAAAACTCAGAGAAAGTCACAGATGTGAAGAATAGGCTGGTTTGACATACAAATAGGGAAAAGAAACTGAGCAAGCACATGTTATAACTTCTATGATCCTGGGATATGCGATTCAGTGGAAAACTCATATGCACATGTGGAATGATAGACGGTAAAATAAGATTCTTAGTCTCGCTTCTAAGACTATCTCAAGTGTTCCTGATGACCATGTTTTCCGGATCTTAGGATATTGTTAACTATAACAATATTCCTAACATAACATTCACAGTATGACGTTCGAAGAACGAACATATTGAATCGACCAAGACTTGTTTGTTATACTTTGAGATTCAATCGTCAAAAGTCAATTTTTATAACACGGAGTGTTAACATGTGATTTAGTTTGTTTGACCAAGAGAAGAATATCATAGTCACTTGTTACCATACGGTAAACTTTGGGATTGCTCAAACAACGTCTGTAACACGGTGATCATAACGACAACTTACAAGTTCATCAGAAAGTTTGGCAAGGGACTAGGTAGCTCAAGAGTGGGATTTGCTCCTCTGACAAAGGAAATATATTCTTAGGGCCCTCTCGGCGTGATGGCATCCATCATCATCTGGTTGTGTTGGGATTTACCCCAAAGAGGATGGGAGATGTAGTATAGTAAAGATAAGTATTTCCCTTAGTGAGAACCAAGCTTTATCGAACCAATAGGAGAATCACGCAAAGCCTCGTGAAAAGCACCTGCACACGCAAAAGTAAATACTTGCACCCAACACGGGCAAGAGGGTTGTCAGTCCCCTTGAACTTGTTACTTGCAAGGTAAAATCTTATAGTGGTAGATGGATAAATTGCAAAAGAAAATAAAAGAAATAAAATTACAACAAGGAATTTTTGTTTTTATAATATAACTAAAGTAGACCCTGGGCCATAGTTATCACTAGAGGCTTCTCTCTCAAACACATAGCACACGGTGGGTGAACAAATTACTGTTGGTCAATTGATAGAAAAGCGCATAGTGATGACGATATTCAAGGCAATGATCATGTATATAGGCATCCCGTCCGAGAAAAATAGACCGACTCTCGCATGCATCTACTACTATTACTCCACCAATCGACTGCTATCCAGCATGCATATATGGCATTAAGTTTATAAAAATAGTGTAACGCTTTAAGCAAGATGACATGATATAGACAAAATAAACTCAACTAATATGAATAAATCACATCGTTTTACCCTTAATGGCAACAATATAAATATGTGTCTTTCTTTTTCTGTATGCAAATCCCGGAGACCTGTATGCAAATCACAGGGACGTGCATGAAACAGGCTCGTCAGCAAGATCACTATCTTGGCTCCCACCGCCTAAACTTGAAGTAAAAATTAAATGTTGATGGTGGCCTGTCTCCAAGTGGCAAACGAGGTGCGGCTGCGTTGGTGTGCAGAGATAAGGAAGGAACCTACCTCGGAGCTTCAGCTATGGGGTTCAATGGCCTTGTTGACCTGGCATCCCTTAAAGCATTTGCGTGTAATGAGGCTCTTAACTTAGCAGCAGATCTGCACCTCTCCTCCGAGTGTGTTGCCTCAATTTTGCGAGAGATTAGCTATCGTCGTGGGTCCTTTGAAGCACTTCATTTCATCCAAGAGAAGCGGACTCACAATGGGGAAGCACATGCCTTGGTGAAAGCAGCTTCTTCTCTTCCTCATGGCGCCATATGCGGCTTTCTAGTGTGCCCGATATTATTTGCATCCCTATGAACATTGCTATTTAATAAACGATGCAAATTGCTCAAAAAAATTGATCTCAGATTCACTGCTCGCCTCTTAATAGCATAGTATGTGTTGTGTTGTGTGAAGTGTTTCGGTTTGTATTAATCGATGGTCTAAATTTGTTTGCATATAAATCGTCCAAGGTAATTAAGGTGATCTTTCTCTCACTGCATACATTCTTCCATCTATTTATCTATCAATCACGAGTTTATGAATCAGTGAATCTATCTAACTCATGTTTCCTGGTTTCATTTCTCTGCAAGGGAGGAAAAAATGGAAGTGGTAAAATCAGCAGTTGCACCAGAGGCTGTGAATGGCGCCGTCTCCTTACTAGTAGAAAAGGGGGCAAAGGTCCAGGCTGGGTCAGCCCATTAGTCCCGGTTCAGTCTAGAACCGGGACCAATGGGGGCATTGGACCCGGTTCGTGAGCCCAGGGGGCCGGCCGGGC